TCCAGATACGAGTTGAACAAGGAGACCTACGCACTGGATGACTAATCCTGCGGACAACCCTCTCTCTTGCCTTTCTTTGGTTGTGAGGCTCTCTCCTTCCGCCTTATCTTCAAGAGTCCAAATGGGGTTAGGGGAAGGTGTCTAAGACCCCTCAAATAAGTTGGATAGGTTGTGTGGAGTGAAATGAATTGATATGTACTCCATGAGATGTTTTTAGACATGGGTGGGGTCTCACTTTGATCTCTTTTGTCATGTGCAGCCCTCAAGTCTATTATGTCCGACCCCCTCCCCCATTCTAACATTATTGTACTTATTTTTCAGGTGCTAGGAAGGTGTGGGGTGGTCTCCAAGTGACCCTAATTAATTTGGGGTCCAAGATATCTACCAATACTTCCAAAAGTGGAAAGATTGGTCCTATTGTTTTTTGTTTTTTGTCATAAGATGTACTTTTTGTACTCATCCTCATTTATTTAGATCAAATCAACCTTTTACATCATATTATTGATCTCTAATATGTGTAGGATGGTCCCAATAATTTATATGATGTATAACTATAAAAGAGAACCTTACTCTCATTATTTAGCTTAATAATGCCAAAGATGGGCCATAGGCATTCGTATTCTTCTCCAATCATTCTATCACTTATTTATGACATTAATATTCATATAGCTGGGCTACTAGCCGTGTGGGTCACCCTCCAGTGGGTCTAGGACGCCATTCTTGGATAACTGCTATTTTTAGCAGGTTAGGCCCAAATTAACATTTGGGCTGCCCGACCGCTCTTACTTTGTACCGAGGGGTTATATATCTTTATTTAAGAATGTTTTGCCCCAATATCAATAAGATGGCCCAATTAATTATTTAGAAGTCCATTACTATTATATGAGCCCAACAGTAATATGATTAATCATACGTTACGTAAAACTTAATCGTTTTACAATTGTTCGATAATAGGGAAATTCAATACATACGCTTTGAAATTTAATTTGAATTTCAAGGACATTTGGGTGCGGTGTCACACATAATGAAGCCATAAAATCCTTAAAAATCTAGAATTTCACCATCTTATCAGTCCTAATTGTACCGACAACCAGAAAGACACCCCGTCGCTCATTGTCCTCCCCATCATCGGTGACCTACTCGTCGAAAACCAACTCATCCTCTTCCCTGCTGATAGCCAAATTATCATACTTGTTAACAATGGATTCCATGAGTTTCCTTCCCAATGTGTCATGGCCAAGTGATGCACTTCGTCTCTAACCTGGATAGTCGCTCTTCGTCGAAGAAGACATAACGGAGAATAAATGAAACCCTAAAGAGAGGGCTTAGGCCACTTGTTTGCTTCTTTTGATATTTTATGACTATACAAATCATAAATAGCTATATAGATTGTTCACTCCATACGGTAATATCACAATACGTGTAAAAAATTCATAATATGTCTCCATTTTTCTTTTATGGAAATGAAATGGTTAATATAATAATATCTTTCTATGTATGGTTAAAACTCATATCCTACCTCTGTCCTTAAATAAGCATAAGAGTTCAAGTAATTCAATAAACACTTATAATTAATACGGAGTATAATAGGTATAATTGGGTGCATATAGCCTAATACATTCTATTTTGGAAAAAATAATATAAATACCTCAAGCTTTAATGGAGTGTGAAATAAATTCCTCATAATTGTATATGTAAGATATATACCCCGAACTTTATCTAAAAAGTTATTTTTTGTGTTTTTTACATATATAAATTTATTGAAAAAGTTAAATAATTTAAAATACTGTAAGCTTTGTTAGACAGCAATTAACATTCTAAAACTTCATTTGTGAAATAAATAATATCACATTCGGTACAATTTATTTTTTATTGCTTCCTCATAAATGTTTTGTATTTTATACTCCCTCCGTTCTTTATTATCTGTCCTCTTAGGCTTTGGCACGAGTTTTAAGAGGAAAATAGTATGAGTAGTGTAAAAGGTGTAGTGGGTTGTGGGTAAATGAAAAGGTAGGAAAGAGAAAGAGGTAATGGTAATAAAAATGGGAGTATAAAGGTATTTTGATTGAAAAAACTTACTAAAAAGGAAAAGAAGGACAAATAATAAAAAACGTCCCAAAAAGGAATACGAGATAGTTAATAAAGAATGGAGGGAATATTATGCACTTAACACAATAAAATTACATTTATGAAAAAACATATAATCACAATGCTAAAATAATTTTTTATATAGAATATGACATATACAAATGTTGGATCGATACACCCCTCTTCGGATTCGACAAGCTTGTTAGATCGATACACCCCTTTTCGGATTCGACAAACTTCCCAGTGGGTCACCCATCCTTGGGCTTTCTTACCCCGAGCTCACTTTACTGTAGAGTTCTGTGGTTAAATAGCAGCCATATCTTTCTTAAAACCAATTGATGATAAGAAAGTGGACACCCTCTATTTAACCCATTACTCTGTAGTCCCCAAGTCAAGGTAGATTCCTGTGGGGGTACCCCCCACAGTTCACTACGGCAGTGCAGAGTCCCACTACTGAGCGGTGGATGGACATGAGGGGCTGCACCACATCGTGGTGCCAACAGGTTGGGCGGTTAGTTCCTGAATCAAAGGGTGGTGTTGACCCCCCCACAAGACCAACAATCACCCCCAACACCAACCGGAAGATTCACTTGTGGATCGATACACCCCTCTTCAGATTCGACAAGCTTGTTAGATCGATACACCCCTTTTCGGATTCGACAAACTTCCCAGTGGGTCACCCATCCTTGGGCTTTCTTACCCCAAGCTCACTTAACTGCAGAGTTCTGTGGTTAAATAGGAGCCATATCTTTCTTAAAACTAGTTGATGATAAGAAAGTGGACACCCTCTATTTATCCCATTACTATGTAGTCCCCAAGTCAAGGTAGATTCCTGTGGGGCACCCCCACAGTTCATTACGGCAGTGCAGAGCCCCACTATTGAGCGGTGGATGGACATTAGGGGCTGCATCACACCGTGGTGCCAACAGGTTGGGCGGTTAGTTCCTGAATAAAAGGGTGGTGTTGACCCCCCCATAAGACCAACAATCACCCCCCAACACCAACCGGAAGATTCACCCATGACCTCGCTCTGATACCACTTGTTGGATCGATACACCCCTCTTCGGATTCGACAAGCTTGTTAGATCGACACACCCTTTTTCGGATTCGACAAACTTCCCAGTGGGTCACCCATCCTTGGGCTTTCTTACCCCGGGCTTGCTTAACTGCAGAGTTTTGTGGTTAAATAACAACCATATCTTTCTTAAAACCAATTGATGATTAGGAAGTGGACACCCTCTATTTAACACATTACTCTGTAGTCCTCAAGTCAAGGTAGATTCCTGTGGGGCACCCCCCCACAGTTCATTACGGCAATGCAGAGTCCCACTACTGAGCGGTGGATGGACATGAGGGGCTGCACCACATCGTGGTGCCAACAGGTTGGCGGTTAGTCACCGAATCAAAGGGTGGTGTTGATCCCCATAAGACCAACAACAAAATATATAGGGAAAAGGTGCAAATAAGTCCTCGAACTAACCGAAAAAGTGTAAATCACTCCTTTTATAGGAGGATCTGTCTCGTCGTCGCCATTTGCAGTGGTTACCGGTGGAACTTTTTAATGATTTTTTTGAGAATCGTCTTCATTAAGTCTAATTTACCCATACCAAATTTCAGGTAAAAATTCAACCGTGAAGGAAGTCAAATGATTTTCTAAAATATGTTGCGCCGTTTAACTGCACAGTTATCTTCAAACATTTATTTCACTCCCTTCACGATTGATTTTTTAGCTGAAATTTGGTACAGGTAAACTAGACTTAATGAAGAAGATGATAAAAAAAGTTATCAAAAAATTCCACCGGGAACCGCCTCAAATGGTCAGGGCTGGTCCTGTCCATTTCTGGGCCTATGGGCGGTACACTATTTTGGGCCTATATCCATGACAAACAGTAAACCATATTTGGGCAATGAAGTTCATAAAATAAAGAAAAGAATCACTTTATTATTATATAAGTCACATATTTGGGCAAAAGTAACAACACGAGTATCGAATAAAAAGAAAAAACAATCCTTGAAAACGTTTCACGTAGACCAATGTGAAGCAAATCATTAATAATTGCTTCATAGACAAACTTCTTTCCTCTATTAAATATGACAAACAATAAAATTGACTCATATAACAATAGTAAACTTTCTTTTAAAGGGAAACGAAAAGAAATATTACCACATATTGAAATTATAAGTTGATAATGATTTATTGACCGCTGATGAGAGTCTAAAGTTTGAAGTCTCGAAAGAATGAAGGTTTTCAAAGAGACAGAATGTTTGGCTGCCAAGAAGACTCGCGCAAGAAGATTGCAAATTTGTCGTCCTCTAAAACTACAATTAGGAACTCACATATAGCTTATTGAAATTTGGAAACAAATGAATAATTAGGGTGAAATCTGAGAGAATTGGTTCTAAAATAATTATATAAATTTGGTATGTTATAATTAAATCGAATAAAAACCTTAAAAGCTAAAAAAATGTGAGGACCGGAGAGACGCGTGTTTTATTTATGCAGCAACAGTTGTATTGCTTTTTAAAACTACAACCCATATTGCTAAAATTAATGTATATACTATTTTAAACTTGTCTCTGTTTAAGACTCTTTATTAATGTTTTAAATTTTCAAATTGTCAACAAAATTAATCATTAGACCTAATTAATGGAACTTAAGAATAAAAAAAGAAGCATACTCACACTATATATAAAGAAAAAATATACTCCCAAACCAACATTATTCAGGCCTAGGGCGGTCGCTCCTCTTGTCCCCCTCAGAACCGGCCCTGCAAATGGCAATGGCTGGATCGAGTCTCTTATAAATTGAATGATTTGCACTTTTTCGATTAGTTCGAGGGTTTATTTACCCCTTTTCCTAAATATAAAGTTTTGTAATATTTAAATTATTTTTTCTGTTTTATTTTCGGTCTAAATTTTCTCAAAACATTTCGCAAACTGAGCTAGCCGGAAAGAGCTGTAAAAAGATTTCTAGCAGCTTTACGTTACGTTGATGGCAGGCACAATCACCTCCAAAACTATGAGCGTGCTGTCTTGTTGCTAAGGCCAGAAAATCCCTGCTCAAATCCAGCAAGAGAAAGGACCTCGATTTTATTTTTTCTGTTTAACTTCCTTCGAATCATAAAGTCGAAACACCTCTTCCGGAACCAACGACTGAAGCTTTTTAGCAAGAGCCAAGAGCTGATGATCTCTTCCGTCCAACCTATCTCCATTCTTGTTTTCTGCGCACTCTTCCTCTCCCGTACGGCTGTAGGAAAGGTAATATCTTTAGAATGTTGTGTGATATTTATCGAGCGATTTTACTCGTTTGAACATGCGGAGATCTTGGGTTTTACTATGCATTTCTAACTGTCTGGATTCCGAAGTCCTTTCTTTGCTTCTAGTTTACTTTATAATTTTCACCTTTAATGCGTCTACATAGAAACTGAAACGCTATTGACAACCTACGAGGCTACGACATTATACCATAGTTGGTCCATGAAATTTCAGATGTTTTTCATAGTGGAATACTGGAATCAGTCACAGGATAGATGATTTGATATACTGGTTCTGTATGATTGCTGCTTGGTTAACCATAATAAAGGGAGGTTTTACATATGTTAGTGTTAGACTGCAATGGAAATTTCATGCAGAGTTCGTCCTTTCATAAGGGGAGTGATTGTGTGGAATAAAAATGGAAATCTTCACTTTTTTGACATTAGCATGTTTGTATTCATCTAAAACTTTTCATCAGATAAGGAACTAAAAGTATGTAGCTTTCATCATGAGTCCAACACCACATGGATAAATTAATGGTGATTTTTCATTTCTAATGGACTTGAGGAATGGGATCCATCCTTTGGTACTAAAATGAATTATTGATCTATCAGCTAAGCTGGAAAAAATCAAACCAAAGAATTAGGTCCCTGTTAAATTATAGCAAATGTATATTTAAATTGATTTAAATAAATAATCAGTTGATGCACCAGAGTTCCAAGTTAAATTACATGAAGTTCAATGAATTAGAGAATAGGTGAATCTAGTAAAGGAATAAACCAATAGCCTTTTAACATGCTTAGAGTTGGGTGGTGAGTTGGTCAATGGTGGTCAGCTTAGACAACTGTGAGTCTGTGACACATATTACAACTATATGATCTCCAGAAGGTGTACAGTTTACAGGTGAAGGCCACTTGCTGGAGAGATTTGTGAAATCGGTGTAGACTGAATAGAAAATAGTAGGCCGCTGGTGGTGCACAATAAGCCTGCTCTAGGGATGGATTGTGGTCAAGTTCACCAAATAAGACTTCTGCTGGCAAAGGTTGTGCTTGAGGTTCTGTGGTCTTCAGGGGGATTAGGGAGGGCACGGTGATGTTGGTTTGTAATGGGGGTGCAGGAATAAGGGACATAACGAATTCAACCAAGAACCACTATTGGCACTGTTCTCAGTGGGTAAACTTCTTCGGTAAAATTGAGAACTCATCGAAAAGTCTGAGCTGGTGGGCCACTGATAATGTTTACACTGTAAAAAAGATAAAGAGAAAACTTTGTGTTCCTTAGATACTTGAAAGATTACAATACCTGCCACATAAATAGGAAAAAATTACATAAGCACCATTTCACTAACCGTACACAAAGTCACCAACTAACCTCACCCATCCTGCCAAACCATTCCCAGTAATGGTCACATCATACGGACCAACTTAACTGTATAAAGTGTATAATAAGTTTTACATTGTTTCAAACTTAGCCTCTATTAAGATATGTAACATGCTTTTATCCTATTGAATCTTATGTTCGTATTATCTCAGCGGGCTTGACCAGAGCATAAGGACATGTGTGGGTTAAAAAGCCTCTAAATGTAATAAATGCTAGGCTCTATGATGATATTTTTTGATTGGATTAACCAAACATATTTAAGTGCTTGATTTAAGTGCTTGTCTGTTTGTTTACGAAAAGGTCTCTTGTGGTGATACAGTCACCACATTTGTTACCAAGTGCAACAAGGGATTGATCTACAGATGTTACCAACTTGGAAAATTTGATCCACATGCCCCATCTCAAGGGGATTGATCTTCACAAAGACACAGTCTTGCACAATGATTTGTGCCACGTTTGCACACAATATTACATCCCACTATTCTTGGTCTCTCTTTGTATAATTAGACATTGTATCTTCTTACAATATACCAGAAATATATATGAAGATAGGTTAATATTTTGAAGAATCAATTTTGGGACCTATAGTTGTGACTTAAGTCTTAACCTATAGGTCGCTTTGTGGATAGCGGAAAGTTAAAAAACCGCAATGCAAATATAGTGGATAGGGTCGCGGTAAATAGTGGAAGCATAGCGGATTAGGTAAAATAAATTACATATATAATAGTCATATTTGAATATAATACGAGATGCATGTTTCAATTTAAACAGCTTATAGTATTCTTGGGACCAAATGCAACAAGGGTTTGATCTACACATGCAAACAACTTCGAAAATTTGATTTACATGCTCCATCTCAAGGGGGAGAGAATTTTCATTACAGGTCTGAAGGATGAAGTTAAATCTGAGTTGAAATTGTATGCCTCAAGATCCTTGTCTGAAATCATGGATAAAGCTATACTCATTGAGCAGACAAATGAAACCATATATCTGAAGAGGAAGGAGGGATGATAAGATAGTTTGGAAGGAAAGATGACTTGCACCAGTGAAATCTCAGGCTTGGGGGAAGGTTACAATGCCAAATCTGGCAATTCTTGGTCATCTCAGAATAAGGTTGTAACAGATAACAAGAATACCAATTCTTGGTTTGACAAGACTGGCAGGAAGATTACTGAAATTCATCCTTCTGGAATGAACACGAAGAATTTCAGGAAAGAAGCAGGAAGGGATTATTCTTTAAATGTGGTGATAAATGGACCAAGGAGCATACATGCAAGCTGAAAAATTATAAACTTATGTTGGTGGAAGACTGAAAAAGAGAGTGAAGAAAGAATGAAGTCCAAATCTATGCAGCTATCCTCATGAGAAAGGAAGGAATACCAACTATGAGAGCCTTCAAAGTGAAAGGGAGTCTGAAATGGGACAAAGGAGATAGGCAGGTAGATGTGCTTATTGACAGTGGGGCCACACACAATTTCATCTCCCAGAAGCTGGTAGAACAATTGGGGTTACCTTTTAACACCATATCTGGATTCAAGGTACACATTGGTAATGGGGAAAGGATAACTAATAATGGGAGGTGTGAGGAATTGATTTTGAGTTTGCAAGGTACTGATATCACTCAGAACTTCTACATCCTCAGTCTGGGAGGAACTGATATGGTATTGGGTATGGAATGGTTGACTAGCCTTGATGATGTAGAAATCAACTTTCAAAAACAAACTATTAAATGGAAGCAACTGGGCATGGATCAGTTAATACAAGGTGACCCTAAACTGAATTCCTTAGAAGTATCCTTGAAAACCCTATCACAAATTATACAAGATAATGGAGATGGATATTTTGTATATTGTAAAGGGAGTAAAATTGAAATGGATAAAGGAGGAGAAATGGAACCTATCTGGAAGCAGATTTTGGCAGAATTTCCAGAAATTTCACAACCTCTAGAAGGATTGTCTCCTAGTAGAGATTGTGACCATTCCATTAATATACAAGAAGTGGCTAATATACCCAATATTAGACCCTACAGATATCCACAGTATCAAAAGACTGAAATTGAAAAGATTGTGAAGGAAATGCTAAATGTTGGGATTATTCAGAATAACAACATCCCTTGTAGCAGCCCGATACTATCAGCTAAGAAGAAGGATGGTGGTTGGAAGTTTTGTGGTGATTACAGAGCATTAAACAAAATAACCATCTCTGATAAATTTCCAATACCTATAATTGAAGAGCTATTGGATGAGATGGGGGAAGCCAGAATTTTCTCCAAGTTAGATCTGAAATCTGGGTATCACCAGATTAGAATGAAGGAAGAAGACAGGAAGAAGACAACCTTTAGAACACATGAAGGGCACTATGAATATTTGGTGATGCCCTTTGGGATCGACTAATGCTCCATCTACTTTCCAAGCCTTAATGAATCAGGTATTGAGGCCTTTTCTGAGAAGGTTTGCATTAGTTTTTTTGATGATATTCTGGTCTATAGCAGATCAACAGAGGAACACCAGGAACATTTAAGGGCAGTTTTATCTGTTTTAAGGGATAACCAGTTGGTAAATCTTAAAAAATGTTTCTTTGGACAACCTCAATTGGTTTATTTGGGACACATCATTTCTGGAGAAGGAGTTTCAGCTGACCCCAACAAAATAGATGCTATGGTTAGTTGGCCAGAACCCAAAGATTTGAAAGAATTAAGGGGATTTCTGGGGCTAACTGGGTACTATAGAAGGTTTGTAAAAGGGTACAGTAGAATTGCACTACCTCCTACACATCTTTAAAGGAAGGATTGTTTTAAATGGGATATGAATGCTACACAAGCCTTTGAAGAGTTGAAAAGAACTATGACCTCTCTACCGGTTTTAGCAGCTCCAAACTTCAATAAACCATTTATTATTGAAACAGATGCATCTGGGACAGGTCTGGGGGCAGTCCTAATGCAGGAAGGGAGGCCATTAACTGCCATTAGCTTTCATGAGCAAAGAATTATCCAAGAGGAATCAAAACAGTTCAGTGTATGAAATAGAACTCATGGCCATTGTATTGGCAGTTCAAAAATGGATGCCTTATTTGTTGGGTAGAACTTTTGAGATTCATACATACCAGAAAAGTCTCAAATTTCTAACTGAACAAAGGTTGATGGGTGAGGAACAACAGAAGTGGACTTCTAAACTATTGGGGTATAATTTCATTATCAAATACAAACCAGGAGCAGAGAACAGAGCTGCAGATGTTCTATCAAGAAGACCACAGTTGAAATCCCTGTCTATTGTCACTTGCCAAGAGTGGGAAGTATTAGAAGAAGAATTGAATGCTGATCCTACATGCAGGGACTTAATTCAGGTCATATCACAGCCAGACAAGAATTCTGAATTCCAGATTATTAAAGGGTTGTTATACTATAACAAGAAGTTGGTTTTACCTAAAGGATCTCCTAGAATAATCAAGATATTGAAGGAATATCATGATTCAGCTGTTGGGGGGCATTCTGGTTACTTTAGAACCATGAAGAGGATATCCAATTTATTCTTTTGGCAAGGTATGAGAAAAGATATTAAAAGGTTTGTGGAGGAGTGTGCTTTGTGTCAAACCAACAAATATCAAGCTCTCAAACCTGCAGGCTT